CACACACCCAAGGCAGCTCAAATCACACTTGTGTTAGTCCCATGAAAAGAAAAAAGCATAAATTTTAAGAAAAATCAAAAGAAAAAGAAAGAAATGAAATATAGAAACAGGAAAACTGGAAATGCCAAAATAACACCCTCACACAAAAGCATAAACTTTAAGAAAAGATTGGAGAACAAAATCCAATGCCCAAATTCTGAAGCCGATAAAAAATTTACAAAGAGAAACACACCCACCTTCATTATAAACATTAATAGTCACTCTAAGCCAACCAAAATGCTTTCAGGTCCATTATTTGAAGAACTCCACAAAGCCTAAAGATATGCGTGCGCTTAATTTCAAATAACCTTTTTATCTGGAAAACTTCAACTGTTAGGAGAATTAACAATTACCTCAGTCAAGGATCAAACCCTGGGTCTTGTCCAATTTCTGATAGAAAGTCCAAGAAACAAGACTTCGGAGCCAAAGAAAACAAGGAAGCTTCTTAAAATACTCATTGTTTTCGTTTTGATTTTCTTTTTCCTCTCATCTCTGGCAATTTTGACTATGATTCTCCGTAAAATCGAGTATGTTAGCTTGACAGCTCTTATTGTCTTCCTCATTTTCATCTCCAATTATTACGAGAAAGATTCTGAGAGATGTTGTGAGGAAAAAGAGAAATATTTTCATGCTCAATTTTGTTTTTGGGATGAATAAGGAAAAAAAGGAATAAAAATTGAAGAGTCGTCTTTAAGTGGCTGGCTTTTTTTAGCAACTAGTGCAGCACCCGTGCGATGCACGATGGTGCATAATTTTAAAGTTATTTATTCAGGCTTATAATTGTATATATGAATAAAAAAAAATGTACGGGATATATATAGTAATGTACGGGATATATATAGTACGTGAGCCGTGCGAATATATTTATTTGGGTAATATTATATTATAAGATGCAATATTAACTAAAATTTTATAATACATAAGAAAATTGTACTATAAGAAGTATTGGATGAAAGACCTATTAACTTGTTTGATTAAGCTAAATTCTTGATTCATTATTTTGAATGAAATACTGATTGGGGATATTTTTTTTCGTAGGAGGTTGAAGTGAGAAAGACGATGACTCAATATTTTGAGATTTATAATTTATAATTAGTAGAGTGGAATCAATATCTGTTAAAATTTTTAAGAAAAAATCTTGATATACGGAAATCACTTAGATAAGATTTTTCATACAATTAGATAAAAAATTTTGTACATAAGAAATTTTAAATCTACACAAACTATAAATATTAGATGTATTGATTTACGTAAATCAATATCTATATAGACAACCAAACCCTTCAATTTAGACTTGACATTTGATTTATTTTTTGTTTAATCAAGATTTTATCTTCCGATCAAATATGCCTTTTTTTTGTTTTACGTACATTTATTTTTTGTACCGATTTTATGGGAAAAAACAATTAAATAAAAATTAATTGATAGAAATAGAATGCATTAATTACTTTTGACTTTTCTTTCTACTAATTCTAATAAATGAGATGGCTCTTTATATAAGTATAGATTCAATGTTCGAAAAATTGGTATTCAATGTATGTTGTAATATATGAATAAGTAATATGTATTGTGATAGCTAATAATTGAAATAAACTAAAAAAATATATAAAATAAGTAATATTCCAATATACTATTAAAAATTTCGAACCAAGTTCTCAAATAATAATACTTGCAAGCGTTCATTTGCAGCTCTAATGCTGCTTATTCTACTCAATGAAATGAAAAACAGCAGCTACACAATGCGGCTGTTAAAAATAAAAATAAAAAAAAACAAACTAAACCTATAACCTAAATTATTTTAAAATAAGATAGCAATCATAAGAATTCAGTTAATCTTGTTTAGAATTTTTATCTGTATAATAATCATTATCTTTATTGTTGTAAAATAGATATCTGTTAGGAGTGCTATTCAAAATCATACGGGATCAAATTATTAGGTCCGAGTTTGAAGGCCAACATAACAATTAAAGAGTCTGGTGAATCAAATACTTCTTTAGAATTTTTATTTGTAAAAATAATCTTTATCTTCATATTTGTAAAATAAATATCTTTTAGGATAGCTATTCAAAATCATACGGGATCAAATTGTTAGGTCCGAGTTTGAAGGCCAACAGATTAATAATGTCCGAAAATCTATATTTAGTAGGCATTAAATGTATTTGGCGGGAAATAACTGCTAAAATTGTTAAATGGTTAATCTTTTTATATAATGATAGATTTACGAAAGAAAAATGCTACAAACTATTGGTATGATGGAATGAAATTTGGTAGGAATTGAATGAATTGAAGAATGGAATGATTATGGGAATTGAATGAAATATGTTTTGTCATTGATACGTTTGGTATGCAGAATGAATAGGGCTGCAATGGAATGACATTATTATTTTTTATTATAAATATAAATAAAAGTTTTTTTTAAAAAAGTAATATACTTTTAATAAATTATAAATTCTTTTTTTTATAAAAATAAAATAAAACTATTTTTAATAATATATTCTGAATAATATATAAAAGTAGAATAATATATTGTTTGATAATATAAAAATAATATATTTTTAATAATATATAAAAATAAAATAATATATTTATAAATTATAAATATATTCTTAAAAGTAATATATTTTTAATATATAAAAAATAATATATTTTTAATATTATTTAAAAATAAAAGTAATATATTTTTAATAATATCTATTTTACTTTTTAATTAAACAGTAAATAAAAGTAAGTTTTCAATTTTTTATTTGAATTTTATTTTTTAAAATAATATATTTTGAATATATTTAAAAATAAAGTAATATATTTTTAATAATATATATTTTTAATATTTTTTTTCAATAATATATTTTTAATAATATATTTTTAAAAGTAATATATTTTTAATATATTTATATTTTTAATAATATATAAAAATAAAATAATATATTTTTAAATTATATATAAATACTTTTTTTAGTTTTATTTTTATATAAGTATTTAATATATCTAATTAAAAATAAATAAAAGTAAGTTTTAATTTTTTTATTTGAATTTTTTTTAAAATAATTTCATTTAATATATTTTAATCATGATTTATATTATATATTATATATTTATTTTTTATTATTATTTGTTAATTTTATTTTTTGAAAAATTGATTCCTACATACATGGGAATGGGAAAACCTTACATTTACTATGGAATGGCTAATCCCATGGAGATAGGTTTTGCCATTCCAATGGGAATGATCATTCCTTCCCAAAAAATGTACCAATCATGAGAATAGGAATGAGGAAGGGAATGATCATTCCATTCTCATGTCATTCCTTCATACCAATCATGTCATAAATGTACATAAAAGTGTACATAACACTCTGTGTGTGGTCCACTTGATTTTTTATTTTTGGTGGGTCTCACTTGATGTGAGTATTATGTACACCTCTATGTACAATATTATGTACCTATAACATTTCTCTTTTTATAATCTCAAATCGGTAGTACAAATTTTTGAATTGCTAGTAAAATACATGTGTATTATAGGAGTATTTGTTAAAAAATTATATTTAAATTTAAAGATAATTAAAAAGTTATTTTGATTTCAAATATTTTTTTGAATAACTATATTACTATTTATATTTGAAATAACACCCATCACATGTAATATGGCTTACCTTCTTATATTATAATATTTTTTTACATTATGTCGTTTAACAACTTTGTAGTTAAATTGATTTAAGAAAAATATTTTTAATTAACATTAATGGGTGATTTTTTATATAAAGATAAATACTATTTCATTTACTTTGTACAATATAGATGTCAAATCGAAACTCATCAAAACCTGATTAATTTTGATATGTTATGTATAAAAAAAATTATAACAAATGAAAAATTTATTAACTTTTAAATCTACTCGTAATTAAAGTTAGTACTTTTATTCATAATTTTAAAAGAAAGATGAGGAAACATATTTATACTTTATACATCACTACTAGAATAGAAAATGTAATATAATTAATACTCTTAAAAATGAACATAAATATATAGTATATTTATGGCTACTCCAAAACTAATTATTTTGTTATTGAAGTTATATTAAAATTCATCCAAGTCAAATGACAAATCATGTAAATTTGTCATATAAGATTCCGAAGCATGCGATTCTGTCACTTAGGTTCAACACATTCAAAATTATATATATGAGTGATGTGTTATACGACCCGGCCTGAAACTAGCACCGACCCCGCCCGGTCTACCCTGTTGACCATGGGTCGAGGCTTGTTCCCGAATTTACACTTAAATGTCATACTTTAATATCCCCCTTGATATAGCCCTACTTGTGAACCGGAGTCAAATATGAGAAGGTTAAACTGAGGAGACTAAGTAGAGGTCTCTATGACTATGATGAGGACCTGCTAGAGGTCACCTCGACCTGACAAAGGAGGAGCTAGAGCTTATCTCGACCTGTTGTTGGTCATCTCATCCACGAGATCTATGGAGAGTTGAGTTCATTATGACTAGTAGAGCATGATCTAGAGATAGTAAATGAATAAGAAAGGATTTGATGATGACTCGGATGTGATTAGGATATAGATAAGATCAAACCTCGGGCAGTTCGGGTAGGCTGACCGAGAGCAATTCGGGCAGTCTAGGCAGGTATTTCCCCTATAAAAGGGGACTGAGGTATAACCCTAACCCTCTCTCCCACTTTCTACACACTTCTACATACATTATAACTCTAGATGACAGAGCTTCATCTTCTTGCTTATACTGATTTGAACGTCGGAGGCCCTTCGCCGGCGTTGATCTCGGTAAAGGGGTTGCCATCATTTGATTCTCACGCGCCGCTAAGAGCGCGTATAGAAGGGCTACCTTCACCCTGGGAGGGGAAGAGCTGATTATTTGCTGAATAGTAGAGCAGCAGACCTCACCAATGACATTTGGTGAAGGGCAAAGAAATCAGGAGAAAACATTAGCTAAAGACACTCTAGACGACCTAGAGACTTTGGAGGACCTAGAGACACTCTGGACGACCTAGAAACACCTGCGACCTAAAGACACTCTGGATAATCTAGAGACACTTTGGAGGACCTAGAGACACTCTAGATGACCTAGAGACGACTTAGAGACACCCAGGACAAGTTAGGATCATTCTAGACGAATTAGAGACACCCAGGACGAGTTGGGATCAATCTAGATGAATTAGAGACACCTAGGACGAGTTGGGATCCATCTAGATGAACTAGAAGCCACCAGGACGACCTGGGGCCGTTATGGACGACTTGGAGACCTTCGGTTGGGTAGAGGAGCGACTTTCGTGACTTATATACAACTAAGTGAGGCTAGACCAAGGCTTAGAGTGGAGATGACTTGAAGAGGATACTACCAAGTTACTTTGACTAGACCACCTCGACCTAGAGCACTGGGATATTACATCTCAGGTAGAGATCTAACTCTAGGTCTAAAGGAGTCTAAGCCTCGAGGAGAGACTGATTTAAATTTTTCAAGCAACTACGAAGCTGGAATCTCAAACAACTACGAAGCTGAACTTTCTAAAATACCTATGAAGCTGAGGACGACTACG